AATTTAGTATTTGTGAACAAAACAATGTTGAACAAGAACACATTATTGATAATAACATTTTTCCTTTTTCTTGGGTTACTAAACAAGAAGTTTTTCTATAGTTGTAAATATTGAATAACGAGTTACTGGGATCTATTGTTTCTTGTTTTTGAAAGAAAAATGAGAAATCCAAAAAACCCTAAATTTTGGGAAATTATTTGAATATCTATGTCATGTATATTGGGTTGTTGTTGTTCAGGAAAACTCATTTTTGTTGCTTTTGTTCTTCTTTTTGTGAGACTGGTTTGTTCAATTGTCCAACATATAAATCATTTCTTGGAAGAAGTGTCATCTGTTGCAACAAAGTAGTCATATGTTGGTAGAAATTCCAACATAGTGGTCATATGTTGCAATAGGTTATTCATGTGTTGCAACTGAAGGTTAATTTGTGGTAACATAAGTATAACTTGATACCCCTTCTTTTCTTATAATCAAGTGTAACCTTTTTTGTTTACTTGTAGATAAAACGTCATAAGAAAGTTCATCTTGTCACGCCCTGAGGCTACCCCTTAGACGTATCACGGGACCTAGGATCACGAGTAACCCCAAACCAACCCTGAGTCTTGCATATAACAAGCATACTAAAAATAACTAAGTAACTCATGTACTATACGGAAGCTAAAAACAGTGGATATCTTAAATGGGGAAAAACCCAACCAATTTGAAAATATAAAATATAATAAGAGTTTAGTAATGACTGAAACAACACTTAATAACTCGAGCTGAAACTACTACTATGTATGAAAAGCCTCTAACTGAATTGGGTTACTGGGACATGCCCCCAACAAACTCTAACAAGACTGAAACTAAAATTAAAGACTGAAATGTAAAGAATGTCTATTGTCCTCGAAGTATAAGGACTCACCACTGAAGCTTCTAAAGTCAGATTGAGGATAGAACTAAGCGTGATCTCGATGTTGAGTGCCTAAACCTACATCATGAAATGATGTAGTGCAAAGTATGTGTTAGTACTTGAAATGTACTGAGCACGAAGGATACAAATATGCTAAGCTAAACAAAGTATATAAGCTGGACAATGCATAACTGAGCAATGATATAATCTGAACAAGTATAACTTAAAATTGAATTGAATGCAATGACCAAGTACTAATCATGAAGATAACATGCTGAACTATATACTGATGTAAAGGCTTAAAACCAAGTCACTACATTAAAAGTTTGATTGTGGGAGCTGCTATAAACCGACATAAACCACTTAAGTTAAACGTGGAGTCTGATGTATACGCCCTATCGGGAGGACCCAATATACCTTGCCATGGGTGTAGAAGCATGATTGTGGCATGATCACTAAAACGGATGCCCATCAGAGGGGACTCATAAACCTACGCGGGCACATAGTTCTGGGACTTTGAGGGTACGATAAACCCTGGTCCAACTCGATGCTCAGTCTACTCCCATCTGATTATTCGTGAAGCTAAAATGCACTAAATTCTAAAATAGCTCAAAAACTGACATGCTAACTGAGAATGCAATATTTATATACTTAGAATATGACATTCGAAATCTGAAGCATGAATTTCTATCTGACTGACCTAGCAAGTATAATTCATGAACTAGGATAAATTTACACAAGTTAGGATTCTGAGTGATATGCATGGAATTATACTAAATTACCAAGAAACAAGTTTATTTAGATCAAAGGAACCATAATCATAATAAATCTTGAAAATCTAGAAGCCCTAGGTTTGAACTGTTTATGAGAATCTGAAGAACTAACTGAATTCTAGGGATCTAATGGGTGAAAGGAACCCACTAGTGAAATCTCACATACTTGGTGATGAAATCTACGGAGAAATCCTTTAGATTTCGGGGCTGAACTTTGAGAAACACCTCTGCTTGTTCTTGGAAGAAGCTGGTGACTTTTCCTTTGCTTTTTGCTCTAAGTTGGGTGATTTTTGGAGAGTGAGGGTTATGGGTATTGTCTGACTAGATTATTAGGCTTAGACGGAGTAAAATGGCGTAGTTTAGGCAACAAACTACGTAGTTTAAATGCCCAATGCATAGGGGAAAAGACCAAAACAACCCAGACTTAAAACAAATGATGTGTCATCCACATTGGGACTGACGGGCCGTCATTTCAACCATTGCCCCTCAACTGGGTAGTGGTTTGTTCTGCTCAATCGGGCTTCACTAAAACTAGCATAGCTTTTTACTACGAGCTTGGACTTTAGCAAACTCGGAGGAGTTGGAAAGAATATTCAATAATCTTTCATTGCATAGGTCATGGGCCACCTAATTCATTTTTTGCAAAAAGATATGACCTTTTGAAGTTTACCCAAAAGCCCTTTTTTTCCAAATAAATGTTGATCTTCACCAACGGCCATACCTATGGTCCGTAGTTCCAACCACAAACCGTAATGGTCGGCCGTGGGTGGGATCAGAGACCACTAAATCTTGGACCCCAATAATGGGACCCCACCTACGGACCGTGGGTCCATCGACGGACTGTGGACCATGGTCGTAGGTCTCAATTCCTAGGACCCGAAGCTTTACACATCTATGTCAACAAATACCAATCGTTTGATGCTTTCTCTTTTAACATCAAATGATCTTCTTGTTGATGCGAAAGATACGAGCATCAACATGAATATTTTCTTAATCACGTTAAAGAATCGACAAATACTATCAAGGAATTGTGATCTAATATTGGTGTCATTTCATCAAAAAAGATTTCACACCCTTTGAACTTTAGGAGGTCAAAAATCTCAATTTGTAGATCACTATCTAATATCAGAAAAAGAAAAGACCAATAACTACTGCTACACTATCTTGCTTAACCTCAAAAGGCAAGGATAAAGTCATCACTCATGTTATACAAAAACAATATCCATTAAAAGGTTTTAATCATTTCCGGCGAGGGTCTAACTCAACTAATTATATCCTTATCTTAATGGATAAACAAGGGTTTACATACATAAGAGTGATGACCACCTTGTTTCATGACATAATGCATAAGGAAATTGAAGTTTATGTGGAGATATCATCATCAAGTCAAAGAAGGGTTCAAATCATATGGATGTTCTTCAAAAGTTCTTTGCTAGAAGGCGCAAGTATAATTTGAAGTTGAATCCTGCAAAATGTGTCTTTGGCGTTCCTGTTGGAAAGCTATTGGGTTTTATTGTTAGCCGCCGACGTATAAAATTTGATCCATCAAAAATCAAAGCCATCTGTGATCTTCTTCTACAGAAGAGTAAGAAAGAGGTAATGAGTTTCTTGGGATGAGTTAACTACATTAGTCGTTTCATAGCCCAATGAGCCAATTTTCAAGCTTCTAAAGAAGGATGCTACTGTAAAATGGACAGGCAAATGTCAACAAGCTTTTGACAAGATCAAAGACTCTTTGTCAAATACTCTTGGGTTGGTTCCTTCCGAATCTGGTTGACTATTGTTATACATATCAGTATTGGACAATACTTTTAGCTGCATCTTGGGGTAACATGATGTAATAGGAAAGAAGGATTAGGCAATATACTACATGAGTAAGAAGTTTACATTATATGAAGCCCGATATTCTTTATTGTAACATATATGTTGTGCTTTAATTTAGGTTGCCCAGAAGCTCTGACACTACCTCTCTTTACACACTACTTATCTGATCTCAAGGATGGATCCTCTTAAATATATTTTCCAAAAGTCCATGCCTACAAGAGAGAGTTTCACATAGTGTATGTTACACAAAAATAGAGAAGGCACATACATTAGCAGATTGGTGGAGAACCCTGTAGATCGATGACGAGTATAGAACTCTGAAGACTTGATTTTTAGATGAACAAGTAGCTTTTTTGGGGGAAGACATCTATGAAGAATATGATGGTTGAAGGATGTTTTTTGATGGAGCTAAGAAGTTAAGCGGGTCTAGCATCAGAGTTGTTCTGATCTCACCAATTGGTCAACATTATCTGGTATCGGTGAAACTCAGATTCCTTTGCTGAAATAATATGGTTGAATATGAAGCTTGCCTTTTGGGACTTCAACAAGAAATTGACTTGGATGTCCAAGAGATGTTGATAATTGTAGATTCAAACTTAATAATACATCATGTGTGAGGAGAGTGGGCAACCAATAATCAGAAGCTGCTACCATATTTGGAGTGCTTGCATAGGTTGCACAAAAGTTTCATAAAGATAGAATTCAAGCATGTGCCAAAGATCCAGAATGAATTTTCAGATGCCGTAATCACATTGATCCTATTTACATTCATATATATGAGCAACCAACATATTGTTTCCATGTTGAGGAAGAGCCCGATAGAAAGCCTTAGTACAACGATATTCAAGGATATTTAAAGAATGGTGAATACCCAAAAGAAGCATCAAGTGTGCAAAAATACACGATTAATAGGTTAGAAAATCAATTCTTTCTCAGCAGAGAAGTATTTTATAGGAGGACTCACGATTTGGGTTTTCTAAGATGCATCGATGGTGGAGAAGATAATAGATTGGTTGAAGAGATACACGCAGAAACATGTGTTCCTCACATGAATAGTTTTACTCTAACGAAGAAGATTATGAGATCAGGATATTTCTGGTTGACCATGGAGATATAGTGTATTCGTTATGTCTAGAAATGTCATCAATGTCAGGCTCAAGCAGATATAATGTGAGTTCCCTCCAACGAACTCCATGCTACTAATTCACCTTGGCCATTTCCAGCTTAAGGCATGGATGTCATTGGTAATGAACAGACAACATCAAACATACACATATTCATTCTTGTTGCAATTGATTACTTTAGCAAGTGGGTCAAAACTACCTCTCACAAATTGGTGACGAAGAAGGTTGTAGATGAATTTGTCAAAAGTCACATCATTTGTTGGTTTAGAATCCTTGAGTCAATTACTACCGACAATGGAACCAATTTAAAAAGTGATTTGATGAAAGCATTATGTGAGAAGTTCAAAATCATCCATTGGAGTTCCACACCATATAGGCCACAGTTGAATGGAGAAGTTGAGGCTGAAAATGAGAACATCAAGTGGATACTACGCAAAATCATCGACTATTACAACTATTGGCATTAAAAGTTACCCTTTGCTTTGCTGGGATATCATTCTACCATCACAACTTCTACTGGGGCTATGCCTTATTTTGTTGGTAGATGGTAATGAGGCTGTAATACATGCTGAAGTGGAGATATCATCTCTGAGAATCATTCAAGAGGCGGAGTTGAGCGATGCCAGATGGGTACAAGTTCGATCGGAGAATTTTGCATTAATTGATGCAAGAAGGATTAATATCGTCTGTCATGGGCAATTGTATCAAAATAGAATGGCCAGAGCTTTCAACAAGAAAGTTAGGCCCAAACATTTCTCACCTGGGCAACTGATTTTGAAGTGGATCTTTCCAAATCAAGATGAGGCAAAGGGAAAATTCTCACCAAACTGGCAAGGTCCATATATAGTCTCTCGGGTGTTAACAAGAGGAGCACTCATATTGGCAGAAATGAATAGTGAAATTGGGCTGAAACCTATCAATACAAATGTTGTGAAGAGATACTACATCTAAGTTTTGATTCATTCTTTTTACTTGGTAATTTGGAACTATGTCGGACCTGATTCCTGATTAAAAGGAGATACATAGGCGCTCCTATGGAGTTTGATCTTATCCTAATAAGAAAATATCATTTTCTCTTGATTATATAACTAGGGAAGAATTTTTTAGGGGGTCTCAAAAATTCCATCAAAGAGAATTGTCGTGCAAATAAAGACTAGGCAAATTTTTTAAGAGGATCTCAAAAATACATAGCAATCAATCTATAATCTACAACAACAGAAGTCTATTCTGGGGAAGAAAATTTGAATGGTTTCAAGAATTTGTGATGCCTATCAGTATCGAAAAGACCTCTCCTAATCGAACATTGCAAAGTCTCAAATTGTGCCAAGATCAAAGATTCAACATCTTATACAATGTGAAATTTTCCCATATTTTCAAAATTCTTACAAAACTTTACATGTTCTATTTATATTTTTCCTCAAAACAAATGCCCGAAAAAGGTCTGGATGTTAAGTCAAATTGAGTATGTCCATCAAAGCAGATCAACCTCCCTCCATTTATAAACTCACAATTTTTCTATGAACGCAGAAAAGACAACTACATATACAAGAATAAATTTCAATATTGCTTGAAGGATAAAGCTACCGTTATATTAAGTCCGACAAATCGCCAATATATGGCACACTATCCTTCCAATAGGATGAAGGATCAAGCTACTTCGTATTGAACCCGAAAACCGCCAACAAATGGCAAAATTTCCTTCCGATAAGATAAAGGACCAAGCTACTGGATACTACCCTTAACAATCTCCAATAAAGGGCAATTGATCCTTCCAACAAACCGGAGGTCTAAGGTGTTTCATCCTCTCAACTATCATATTGTGCCCTAAAATTACATGTGCCCAGAAAATTGCATTGTGCCCAAAAAATGCATGTGCCCGAAGATTGCATGTGCCTGAGAAATTGCATTGTGCTCGAGATTCTATTGTGCCCGAGAATTGCATGTGTCCTTGATTGCAAGTGCCCAAAAATTGCATTGTTCTTGAAATTGCATTGTGCCCGAAGATTGCATGTGCCCGAGAAATTGTATTATGCCCGAGAAATTGCATGTGCTCGAGATTATCATATACCCGAGAATTGCATTGTGCCTAAGATATTGCATGTGGCCAAAGAATGCATTGATCCCAATATTTGCATGAGCCTGAGATATTGCATATGCCCGAAGATTGCATGACCCCGAGATATTTCATGTGCCCAAAAATTGCATTGTTCCCAAAGACTGCATTATGCCCGAGAATATCATGTGCTCAAGAGTTGCATCTACATTAATTTTGAAAATTATATTGAGCCCAAGAACTACTGGAGCTACTATTTTTTTGATTCACGAAAGTCATGTCGAGCTTAAAGAAATACATCTGTATGGAGCTTTTATCGAATCAAGGAACCAGTATCAAAATATGCCTGAATTATATCAAATCAGATACGCTCTCTTTACTCATTACTAATGTCCCGTAAGTTTCATCCTCCAAAGGCACAATTTTCATGGCATACGGCCATCATATTATGGCGTAAGGATTTAATTTATGTTTATCATGATCCGAAGGTGTCATAGTCTAAAGGCTCCATTTTTGTGGCCTACAGACAACATTTTCATGACCCGAGGATTTAATTTTGCATATCATAGCCTAAGCTATAATCTCCATAGTCTTAAGGAAAATATCATGGTCGATATGGAAAATTGTATCATGTTTACATTTACCATTTATTTGATATATTTGCCCTAATCACTTTATTTAGTCGTATCACAAGCCACAAATTCGCAGAGACTAACCTATTGCAGAGAAGATCAATTGCCCTTTACATGTGACCATCGCACTATATATCTCATAACAATGCCCTCTAAACTTGTCTCTACTGATTTGATCTTCGCACTATTCATTCCATCTCGTTGCTCTAATCCTATCCATTCAAGTCGCTATCGTCCCCATTCAAATATCATACCGTTATATCAATTTAAGGAGCTTCATTTGTTCCTAAATCTAGAACTATGCTCGACCTGATTCTCATAATACCAGAGATATGTAGGAAACTTAAAACCAAAGTCTCGGTCATGCCATTTTTCCCAACTATATGTCATTTCAACGGATCCCACTAATATATTTTCCTTAGTCAGACAAAATCGGCTACTTAGTCAACATTGGTTACCCGACAATTCATCGCTCATTCTCAAGAAACTAAGGGCAACTGCTGACACCCAACTTTGACCAACCAATAACCATTTATGAATTTCTATTTGATTAAATATGTAGGGTATTAACACCTTTTCCCCTTATTTTATGGGTTCAAAATTGAAAGTAATTTTATGCACATAATTAGATCTTAATATTCATGATTTATAAAATTTATTCTAATTATTTTTTCTTATCAAATAACTATTTTATTAATTTTATTTATCAATTATCAAGTTTTGAAATAAATATTTTAATTATCGGTTTAAGGTTGAAAATATTTAAGTGTGCTTATTTCATATAAAAACTAATTATTATGTGTAGTACATCATTAATTAAATAGCAATTCAATTGATCTTCCCTTAAATGATTTAAATCGTAGCCACTTCTATTAAATTAAATAGCATTTTTCTCATGCAATTTCAATTTTCAATTTTCAATTCAAGCCCTTTCAATACAAGTCTTATTTCAATTTTAGCCACTTGGTCTGTAACACCCTAAAAATTTCTAAGTTAAGACTCGAATCACTCTTCATTTACTTGTAGGGTCAAATCGGGTGATTCTTAAATTGCCCATATGTGTAAAGGTAAATTCTTTGGTGTGGGAATGATTTTGGATATCAATTAAGGTCAATAGAATCCCCTAGCACAAAGTAGAGTTAAAAGTTTCATTGTCGATGAAGTTTTGATGTAAGATTCTACTTGTGTCAACTTCAAACGACCATATCTCTTAGAGTATAAAGTGTTACGTGGCCCATAACATATCAAATTAAAGGTATTTAAATCAATTTTCCACAACCACCAATTTCGCGTCAATCTAGTTTCTGAGTAAAAAGTTATGACCATTTTAGTAACTGATATAGTGTAGTGACGAATTAGTCGACGGGAAAACTTTAAAAGGGTCTTTTTGTCTTTTTACCTCCAAGAAAACCCTAAATGATTTTCTTGACTAATAAAAGGCTCAAAACAATCAGATTTTCATCTTTTAATCCATCATTCTCTTCTCTCTCAAACCCTAGGGAAAATCCCTAAAGAAAAATCAAAGTAGAAGACTTCATTCAAGATTTTTTCAATCTTTTTCAAGATTCTTCTTCAAGGTAAGATCTTCTCCAAGAATTTCATTACAATTATGAATCACTAATGAAAATCATAATTCTTGGTCACAGAGATTTCAAGGAACTAATTCAAGAATCTCAAGAAAGGTTTTCTTGTTTGTTCTCCTTCAAGCTAGGGTTTCAAGGGTTCTAATCAAGTTCTTTTTCAAGATTATTCAAGAACGTTGTTCTTCTAGGTATGTAAGGCTATCATAGTGTTAGACTAGTTCGTTCTCACGCCCTACATCTTCTTTCAAATCAGTAAAAGAATAATCTAGTATTCTATCCCTAGATTTGAGTATTTTTTAGATAAGTTGATTTTTGAGTTCTTGAATTCATGCAGCCTTTTGAAATTCCATTACTAATTATTGAATTGCTATACTTTAAGCCATAAAATTCTTGAGTTTATTCATTCATGTCTATATTTCAGCATGAACCCTATGAATTGAGTACTTTTGAATAGAGAAATATCGTTGAGTTATGAGTTTCGAGTTCTTGAATTCTTGAGTCTTGATTTCTGAGTATTGAGTTTCCTCATTGCTATTAAGATCCCTGGATTGAGTCGTTCATGTCCATAATTCCATATGAACCCTATGATTTGAGTTATAAATTTTGAAAAGCCTTTTTAAAGCCAATATTTCAGTTCTTAAACTGAGTTTTGAGAAAAGTAAAGATGAGTTTTGAAAAAAGTGTTTCCAAAACATTATTAGTATGACAATCGAGTATGTCATCGATGGATGAGCAGTATGGTATTTAGATATACCATCAATGTTTATCCAGTATCACTTCCTGAGTCATGCATGATCATTTTAAAATATGATTTTGATATGTTTTTGAAAGAGTTTCCAAGTATTTGAGTAAGACTATAAGGGGACTATGTATTCCCAGAGCTATCAATTTTTACATTGATAAAAGAGAAACTAAGATTTCTAAATGAGTAATGAGTTCAAAAGATATGTCAAGAGTTGTTACCTCTTTTAAGAGGGTAGTTTGAGAAATTATATCAAACTAATGGAAAAATTGTGTTTTTAAACATATGAGAATGAATATATATTATTATGAGTAGTATTGAGCACTGATATGGGGACGAGTTCAGAAAGCTCAAAGTCCTCATAAATCATGTATGCCAACATGGATAAAGGGTCATACTTTTTAGATGATTCTTTCTTGCTTTTTAAGCATAGCTTAGTGGATCCACTTAGTTGAGGTGTTCTATACCCCGACAAGGTATAGAATAGTTATAGGAACATGGGTGAGACGATGTATCATAATGTGGCTCATAGTGATGGTTGTCAATCAGAGAATCTCCCCAATAGAGTTAAAGTGTATTTTTATATATCAATTATGATGTTGAGTTCAGAGATGAGAGAGTATTTTGTAAAGCTTTAAATGATTTAAATCCTTTATTTCTTTACATTCAACTTGAGTACATTGTTAGCAATTGCAGTCCTTTCTTTCAGTTATTTTTTATTCTGCCATATTACATAATCGTACATTCTATGTACTGATTTCATTCGACATGCATCCTTTTATGATGCAAATATGGGTGTTCATGATTATCAACATAAACTTTCGAGTTAGTAGTTTTGAGGTGTCATGGTTCTTGTCCCGACATCCTTTCTTAAAAGTAGAGGCTTCATAAATAGACAGTTTTGGAGAGTCTTTTAGTTTCAAATATTTTATTTAAAATTT